ATCTGATATTCTTTAGTTCGGCTTTCCTTAGCAATGAAAGGGCTTTTAGTGCTCTCCAAGAAAGGGGTCTTTTCCTACAGCCCTCAGAAAGCTTTCAGCCTGCTCCAGCTGCTGCCTCTCTTTATCCATCAGAAACAAAGTGCAACAGCCACGCTCGGCATTTCTTGTGCCTCTAATAAAGCCCCTATTTCACCCTAAAAAGGGGGTAAGCTGTCTTTGCAAGTGCCTGCTTTCCAAAGCTCCTTCACCAGTGACAGGCTGTTCAAGTTGGGCTCCTCTGTCTTGCCTGTCAGCTGGCTCCATTGGCTACTGTATAACCACCATGCGCAAAGGGAAGCACATTCATCAAGATGCTGATTCAGGGAAGCATCTAAACATGTACTGAAGTCCCGTTGATTTAAGCACATGCTTCACTGCTCTACTGAATAAAGAAGCTTGCCTAAGTCAGAGTCTATGAATCCCACAAACCTTACTCTCTTTCCTTCCCTCCCTATCACTTTCTATACACATGAGGAATGTTCCTGGACTCCGTTCAATAAGCATTCGTAGCACATCCATGCCAATGTTGTTTCAGCATTTACATGCTACCCGCGGCACTCAGGAGGGATTGAGCTCTCTCATTACCTGTGAGGTTGATTATGGGCACAGAATTGCATGGGCACACACACAAGTCTCTGTTTGGAAATGTGGGGCCTGATTTCCAGCCTCCTTTCCCCTCCACAACCACCCCAACTCCCCACGAAGAGGCATAAATGTAGGAAGAACTCTGCCAATTATGAAAGATGGACTGTAGAAATGGAGGTGAAACCTTGTGTGAAACTCAACATGCACGTTGTGCTGCACTGAAGCCAAGAGAAACTTGCAGCAATAAAGGAAAACCTCCCCTTCCGGGTGTACACAGGGGGCAAATTCTGCTCTCATTAACACTGACAAATCCTCAAAGGCAATGCTTCCCCACTTGCAAGCACAGAGTCTGAGTGTAGAAAAGAAATCTTTAATACAAGGGGAGGGAAGTAGCACGGTATTAATTTGGGAAACCACCACAAACAGAGTTCATAACCAAAAGCACGAGTTACAGTCCGACCCCAAGTAGGTTGGGCAATGTCCTTTTCCTCTTAGGTTCTTAAGTCCAGCAATTTAAATGTTCCCTTCACATGCCCCACCATATGCAGAGTTCACCTCCCATTTTGTTGTGGGAAGGCAGGGAAGATAAGGAGGCATCTTACTCACTCCGCTGGTCACTCGCCTTCTACTTGCTCACCGCTCTGCTGGCCATTCGTCTCACCTCGCTGCTGCCGCTCTGCTTGCCTCTCTCAGTGGCTGCCCTGCTGGTGGCTCATTACACCTCTCCATCACCTCCGCTAGCTGCTTATCCCATCTTCTGCTGGCTTGTGGTGGATCTGGCTCTGGGCCAAACCTACTGATTTCTGCTCTCAGTGATTTTGCCCAAAGCCCAGTCCAGCCGCAAGAAATGCCAGCATCCACAGGAATAAGTTTAAAATAATAAAAGAGGCTCCTTATGGAGTCTGTTCTAGTTGTGTCATTAGAACAGAGGGAGAAACAAGTTGGACCAGTCTTGCAGCTCACGCCCGGAGGGCAGGCAGCCGGTTGATTCAGAGTCCTCCTTCCCCAGATCTTTGGCAGTCAAGCCCTTGTTCATCCAAGGGTCTTTACACTGACAAGGTCTCTCCTTTTGTGCTGAATTAAATACAGTCTGACTGTCTGTATTCCTACAGTCACTGCAAGCATTGTTGATCATCTCACAATTCCTGCATTTTGTGCTAACACAATGTGACCCCCACAATAGCCAAATTGGTTACAAAGAGCAAGACACCATGGCAACAGTTGAATATCTGGCAGGCCTAAGCAAAGCAGGAGCAAACTGTATTTATAGAGACACACCCAGGATGTCTTTCCCATTCCAGCTGGCTGTAATGGAAGCATTGATTCAGACCCTGCTTACACTGAGAAGAGAATTGGACCCTATATGGAGTATGTGTAGCTGGAGGTCAGCTTGTGTGTTATTTCACACTGCTCTTGAGCAGTGAGAGCAGTGTCTGTCAATGAAGCAGTGATACCCAAACTTTACCAGCTGCTTAGGAACAACTCATTTCTGAGTACATGTTTTAATAAGTAAGTCAATGCTATTACAACTACTGTCATTGCAACTTTCCAAAATGGCGAAAGGTCAGCATAGCAAGTCACTCATGTTTTCAAGAGGAAGCGAGAAAAGAGTTCTGGAGAGAACCACGTTTCTTTCCCATTGACAACAGCAGCTGGACTGGGCCCATAATCCTGAGGAGTATAGCTGTGTTTAAAGAACCACAAGTGTTCAGTAGTTCTTTGACTACATTAACTGGAGTCGGGACTTTGTGCAAAAGAATTCACCTTCTTCACTGAGGTCCATCTGCTTGTAAACTTCTTTGCCATCCATCCCTCTTTTCTTCAGTATTCCCTAGTGTCTCTTTACTATGCTGTCTCCTGCCTCACCAGGTACCCTTTGTTTATCTGTGTCCAGCCCTGCAAGCTGCACTCCCTGGAGCTCATAAGCATGTTTACAAGGTTACAAAAATTAAAGTGGCAATTTGTTTAGCGACCTAAACATTGCAGTGGAAACCCAAGGCAGAGTGACATAGGAGTCAATGTGACATTTGTGGTGTTTATCTGTTGTCTTCCAGTGGCTCACGGGTTACTTTGATGTTGTGCGGAATTCGTGTTCCACCTGGCTTGCCTACCAGTGTTTTGACTTTCCCCTAAGTTTAGCTCTGTTCCAGTGCCAATGGAAGGCAGTAAATAATTGTTTGCTCTTCTTCATCCAGGCAAACAGATTTTTGTGCCTCACATTACAATTATTTGTCCTGCATTTAACTTTCATCCCTTAAAAGACAATAAACCATACTTTGGTATTGGGGCAACGTTTGTAGAGTTCAGACAAAGACTAAAGACTGCATTTGAGTCTTTGTAGTGCTAAGCATCTACTTGAATGGAATCAAGGTACCTCTGTGGGCACAATGAAAAAAACCTTAAGGTGCTACACTAACCAGAAAATATAGATGGTATCATGAGCTTTCATGGGCACAACCCATTTCTTGAGATGAATGGAGCAAGAGGTCCAAATATATAGCAGAAAAAAGAAGAAAGAGGGGAGGGGGAAAACCCTGTCTTTTAAATTATCCATACTAAATGAGGCTAATAGAGTGGGCTGTAAGTGCCCAATACTTAGCTTTTCATGTCATTTGGGTGTTGAATATAATGGCCCATCGAAGACATGTCTTTGTTCAATCCTCAAATACCCAAATGACATCAAAAGCTAACTATCAGGCACTTACAGACCACTCTACTAGCCTCATTTAGCACAGATGCTTTAATTAACAGGGGTTTTCTCCCTCCCTCTCTGCTGTATATTTGTACCCCTGGACGCTTTGTTCCATTCATCTGAAGAAATGGATTGTGCCCACGAAAGATCATGATACCATCTATATTTTTTTGGTTGGTCTCTAGGTGCTACAGGATCAAAGTTTTTAAAGTTTTTTTTGTTGGTTATGGACTAACATGGCTACCCCTCAGACTTTGGCACAAAGAGAGATACGCCATGGTACAGATGAAACAAAGAACAGGACTATAGCACTTTAAAGACTAACAAGATGGTTTATCAGGTGATGAGCTTTCGTGGGCCAGACCCACTTCCTCAGATCAAATAGTGGAAGAAAACTGTTAGTCCTTAAAGTGCTACACAGTCCTGTTTTTTGTTCCAGCTGCACCAGACTAATACGACTACATTTCTACCGCCATGGTACAGAGTGATCCCTGAGCAAGGAAATAGAGGAAGAGTCACTGTCCCTAGTTCTGCCCAATGCTAGTTTGTATGTGCCTGCCTCTGTCTAAAGCAGAGATCAAGGATCTAACTGAAATGGAGGTTATGTGGGATCTTGCTCACTGAACCAGTTTTCCATCCCAGGTGGAAAACAAGCTGCTTACCAATCCCTTCTTCACAAACTGATGACATTGGTAGTGAGTCTGCCAAAGCAAGGTCAATCACCACAATATACATAGCTCAGCTAAGATAAGCAGAAGACAACCCATGGCCCCGAGGCAACCCTTGCCCCCCGTTCCCCCACCTACTATGCACAAGCTGCCAAAAATCCATGTCATCCATAGAGCAATGCATCATTGCACGTAATCACAGCTGGAAGTGGAACAAAACACACAAAGATGTGATTGAATGCCTGCATAATCCCAGTGTCCAGCTGTCTCTGTGCTCTTCTGTCCAGTGGTCATATCGCTGTCCCGGACCTAAGTCCTGGTCTACACTAGGGAGTTATTTCGAAATAACAAGCAGAGCATCCACATGACTAAGCCTGTTATTTCAAAATAAAGGGCTGGTTATTTCAAAATAACTCCTGCTTTCCACAAGGAATAACCCTTATTCTGAAATAGTTATTTTGAAATAGCAGTAGTGTGGGCGCTTCACTGCTGCTATTTCAAAATAACTACTCCATTTGGCCATTTGATCAGACCCTTCCATGCCCACTGCCTCCTCTACTCCTAGAGCTGACTACGAATGCAAGAAGGAGTATGTAAAGGTGCACACAGGGCATCATTTGACATAAACTGGGCTTTGTTCTATGGCATAAGCCTGCATATACTACATGTGGGTTGCTCCTAGAGATCCACAGTACACGTGCCAGCTTTACCAGGCACCATCTTAGGCCCTGAATCTACTTGACACAAGACTCAAGTATAAAATGCGTAAGAATAAATTATTGTTACTTACGTTTACCAGTCAGTGGTTTGCAGCCTTTTTTCATTTGTGGATCCCTAAAAAAATGCGGATGGAGGTGCAGACCCTTTGGAATCTTAGACATAGTCTGCAGACTCCAAGAGCGTTCATGGATCACAGGTTGAAAAAACACTCTTCTGTGGTAACAACAAACTACAGCGGATCCTTTAGACGTAGCCTGTGGACTTGTGGTTTGACCCCAGGTTGAAAGCTACTGTACTAAGTCACATACACTAAAGAGTTTTAAAATAGGTCATGATGTTGTTGTCCATAAGGTGCCTTTTTCTGAATAGTCTGTTCATCTTATGCAAATCAGGCTGATAATACACTCTTCCAAATTGTATTTAGCTTGGGTATGAAGCTGGATACCCAGGGTAAACTCTTCAGCTAATGGAATGCACCATAATGCCATTAACTGTTATGGAGTATATCTGCCACATGCCATCTCACAACATGCTAGTTTTTCTTTCTGGGATAAGACTGCTCTACAGTATTTGCCAAAGTGTGTCCAAGTAAAATACTCAGAATATTAGATAAAACACAACCTGTATTCTCAACCATGGGTATGTGTATCCCTGGGGGTAGGCAGAGCTCTTTCAGGGGAGACCCCAACTCATTTAGACAGTTGCCTAGTTTTACAATGGGCTACATTAAAAAGCCCTAGCAAAATCAGTACACAAACTAAAATTTTATACAGACAGGGACTTGTTTATACTGCTCTATAGGCTATACATTGAAATCTAAGTACAGTGTTTATATTCCAATTGATTTATTTTATAATTATATGGTAAAAATGAAAAAAGTAAACAATTTTTCCATCATAGGTGATTGTGACATTTTTATGTCTGATTTTGCAGTTTAAGGGAGGTGGAACTTGGGGGTACACAAGACAAATCAGACTGTTTAAGGAAACTAAATGCAAAGGTAACATCCCACCACTGGGAGTGTGTGTTACCCATACAACTGAAGAAAAAATAAATTGACACTCTACTCACTTTTGACACACAGAAGCTCTTTCTTCAAACTATTAAAGCTCAAATGGTTCCAGTTCCAATAGCCATTGTCCCTCTGTTCCTTTCTGTCATTTCCTCTAGTGCAGAGCTCCAGGGCATCCTGCCATGGAACTTAAGAGGGGAATACATTGCTTTCAAGACCAGTTGGTTTTAAAACAGGTAAGCCCAGCACTCCATATCCACCACATGCTGGATACTGCATACCCAACATTATGGGGAGACTCACATTCCCAGCTCTTACCACACTATGTTGCCCTGTTCAGGCAGGGGTACACCTCCTTCCCACTTGTTCCTCTTACTTTCTTCTTCCCGCTATCCCTTTTCCTTGCCCCCAAAAGAACACCCTGTTAGAGATCCCACAGAGGAGGTCTCTGCTCCCTGCTTGAGCTTATCTACATGGGGGCCAGTGTACTTCGCTTTTCAGCCTGATTCCTATTTACCTGAAGGCCACTTTGCACCATTCAAACAGTGTAAAAGGAACATTAAGCTACATTATGAGTGTAATCTACACCCACCTCAGTCTGCTTTAATGTGCCAAGCACTGGAAGGGCCTTAGTGTAAACAAGAATCACTCCTGTGGCAAAGCTGCAACCGTGACCCACAGGTCTCGTGCTTCTGGCAGATAGCGTTAGCCTATGAGGCGCACTGTGACCCTCCACACAGCCCCTTGCCTTTAACTAGGGGCAAGGGTAACAGCCTACTGAGCCCTTCTCATCACAGGCTTGTCTGAAGTATGGGGTATAGCCCCTGCCAGTCCTGGTCTCCCCTCTCTGGGGCAGCCTCTGTAGTAATATGGGGTTAGGGGACCAGGGCCCACCCATTACTCTGGGTTCTGGCAACAGACAGAGTTTGTCCTACTCCCAGTCTGACAACTACTTCCCTAGACCACTTCCCCAAATGATCCCTCCCAGTAACTTTCCTCTGGTACCTGAGCAGCTTATCCTGCTCATCCCAGGTACTCTGCCTTACTTGCAAACCCAGACCCCCTCTTCCTTCTTGAGTTCTTTCCCTCCTCCAAACACCTCACACATTCCCGGCTGCAGAGAGTTCTTTTTAACCAGTCTCCACTGGTTCTTCATTGACCCCGGTGTTCTGATTAGCCCTACCCAGTTGAGTTCTCAATTGTCTCCAGATTCTTCAACGGGCCTGATTGATTCCAGAAAGTTCCTTCTGGTTCTAGATTAGCCCTTGTTAGTTCACCCTGAAACAGAGACTTACACAATCTAGGGCTGATATAATTTCCCTTGACCACTCTTGTGTACTCCTCTGTCCTGATCCCATCACACCCCCTTATGGTTTTCATTGTGTCATTTTTTCACTGGTAAAACTGCATGGCTTTTGGGAATAAAGTTAAATATTCACCCTAAATCAACCAGCCGTGTCTGTCAAGCTTATATTTAGTTGGAGCTTGGGCAATCAAGTGATATTTGCCAAGCTGCAATATGCCTTGCCATCAGAAAATGTGCAGGTGCAAGCATGTGTTTGCACAGAAATTTTTCCACTATGTGTGAGAATCTAAACAGGCTAAAAAGAAGGTGCTTTGGTCTGTGACATTACTGTTACTTTGACATTACACTGGAGGGTCTTTTTAATTGTTAGTAGCAATGGTTTTTGTAGAAAATACATTAACAATATTTTTGGGGTCACATGTCTCTGTCATATTAGCAGGAGTCACATGTCTCAGTTTTCATTGAATTTGGAACCACTCTTATTCAAATAGTCCAGATCACGGTGTGTGGGAGGATGTCATCTGCATAGTGTTTACAGTGGGACCAGCACTACAGGGGCACTGGAAAAATGATTGAAGATGGATTCCTTTTGCAACAGTCCCCATTCTATAAGAGGGATGCCCTTGGTAGGAAAAATTTATGGTAGGAAACCATCCAAGTATTCTAGCACCTTATAATATTGTCTTTCTACCCAGCTACAGTCTACCCAGTGCTCTGTCTCTTTCCAAGATCTTGCTAGGTCACTATGCTGTGGATTGGCTACAGAGTTCAATTGGGAAAGGGTCGGCCTTCAAACAGCTTCAGGTTCCAAAAGGAATACTGGCTGTGAGCCCCGGAGACAGATGGGTTTGTTCAAAATTTAGGATCAGACCCTTTAGCCGTATGTCAGCAGCGCAAAGGTGGCCGAAAGAAGTCAGACTCACACAGCTTCCAGTGTTGGAAAGCTCCCAAATGGCACAAGGTTGGGCTAGCTAGCCTGGCACAAGGGACATGACTGGAGCTCTCTGCTCTCCAAGGACTCCTGGAATGAGGTGTAACACTTAATCCGAACTAAGGATTTAGTTTGGATTAATTTTAAACTGCCGCATGTAGCCGCGGGCAGTTCGTCCGAACTAAGGGGGATTTAAAAATGGCAGCCGAATGGGAACATGCAAATAAAGCCTGGGATATTTAAATCTCAGGCTTCATTTGCAAATCCGGTTGCCTGATTTGCCTACCTAGTTCAAATTAATGAGCTAATGTAGACATACCCCAACTGTGTACAGCTGGCATACAGCGCCTTAGGGGGTTAGACAACCAGGACAGATCAGAGCAGACCAAGGCTGTTTAACCTACTCAAGGGGTACACTGGTCTACCCCAAGAAGTGGGGAGCCTGAAACGGCTGTCCGATGGCACCCCCATCTGTGAAGTTCAGCACAACCGAGACTGTCTGGCATTTTTCTTTCAATATCTGATCACGTCAGAAAGAAGATGAGAATGGAAAGAGTTTTCATGCAGATCCTCCCCACTCTGCTTTTTACGGACTCCTCTGTCCACCCATGCGCTAATAGAGCTTAGCCATGGCCAGTTTTTGTATCCACACGTTAAAAAGTTGGAAAAATCACTCACATGTCTGTTCACTTTACTGCTATACGATCAACTCCTGAGAGTCGAGGGTGTTCCGCACCTTACAGCAGCCACTTAATACCTTGCGGGTGTGACACTATAAATAAGATCTTGCTCTGCCCCCAATGCATGACTCGGGCTGCACTTGAGAATTGTTATAAGTTGAATTCCCACTCCCCACTTCTCTATTATGTATATAGTCTTGTCTACATACAAAACTTGCACTGACTTCTGCAGTTGATTTTCAGTATGTTTGGACTCCACATATACAGTGATACGCTGTGTCTACACTGGGCCACTTATTCCGGAAAATTTTTCCACTAAATCAGCCGCTTTTCTGGAATAAGTTGCCAGCTGTCTACACTGGCCCCTTGAATTTCCGGAAAAGCACTGACGATCTACTGTAAAATTGTCAGTGTTTTTCCGGAAAAACTATGCTGCACCCGTTCGGGCAAAAGTCCTTTTCCGGAAAAACTGTTCCGGAAAAGGGCCAGAGTAGACAGCACAGTAGTCTTTTCCGCAAAAAAGCCCCAATCGCGAAAATGACGATCGGGGCTTTTTTGCGGAAAAGCGCGTCTACATTGGCCACGGACGCTTTTCCGGAAAAAGTGCTTTTCCGGAAAATTATCCTGCCAATGTAGACATGCTTTTTCCTGAAATACTTATAACGGAAAACTGTTCCGTTTTACGCATTTCCGGAAAAGGGTGTCAGTGTAGACATAGCCATACTGTATATCAATATACTCACATAACTGAACACACACAAGAGAAAAGAACCTATGCCTGATCTAGCTATATGTATTCTAGTTCTGGTGGGAGCGCTTCATCAAAAAGATGCATATGTATAGCCTGCTTTAAAAGGTTATCCGACGTCGGATTAGTCTGGTTTCCTTTGGCAATTTGTTCACGGTCAAGCTCCTGCACCTAAGCATATTTCGTCTTACGCAATATTTTGTGCTAAGTTTTGTAAGTCACATCATCCTAGACAAGACCAGGTCTCCTGGGGGAGGAGCATGATAAAGCATTCCCATGGTAACCAGTGTTCGAAGATGTCCCCAAAAAGAAGTTTCTAGAATCTAGGGAATTAGAGCAACTGAAAACTCCATGAAGTCCTCGCTGGCCTGGCAATGTGGATCTTATTTGCCTGGTCATATCTTAGATCAGAGTGGGCAAATGTTTTGGCCTAAGAGCCACCTTTGGGTATGGAAATTGTAAGGCAGGTCACCCCCTCACTGGCCAGGGAGCAGGATGAGTGGCTTGCCCTGCTGCTCCTGCCTGCCCAGTGCTCCTGCCGGGGGAGCAGAATCGGGCACCAGATCAGGGTAAGCCCCTGACCCTGCTCCCCAGCTGGGGCAGTGGAGCTCAAGAGCCAGATTAAAAGCTCTGGTGGGCTTGGATATAGCCCAAGAGCTATAGCTTGTGCAACCCTGCTTAGATACTACAAGGACAGGCTCTATAGGAAACCTTAAAATAAACAGATTACCTCTTTGGGCTACATCCATGTGTTGTTTTTACACTTAAGAAGGTGACCCCCATCACTTCAGTGGGTCAATACTAATGGGCTACGTCTACACTGGCATGATTTTCCGGAAATGCTTAAAACGGAACAGTTTTCCGTTATAAGTATTTCCGGAAAAAGCGCGTCTACATTGGTCCCGGAGTTATCGTTATAACGATGCGCTTTTCCGGAAAAGCGCGTCTACACTGGCCCTTTTCCGGAAGAGTTTTTCCAGAAAAAGGACTTTTGCCCGAGTGGGAGCAGCATAGTTTTTCCGGAAAAGCAGCTGATTTCTTACAGTAGATCGTCAGTGCTTTTCCGGAAATTCAAGGGGCCAGTGTAGACAGCTCGCAGCTTATTCCGGAAAAGCGGCTGATTTTCCGGAATAAGTGGCCCAGTGTAGACACAGCCATGGTGATAGCACTCTGTATTTCCACAATACCATTCCTCTGAGGCTCTCTCAGCACACGCCAGGCATCTGTTTAGCCTTACAACCACCAGGCGAAGCAGGGAAGCACTTTGTTAGTACTTCCATTTTAAAGATAAAAGGCAGCGAGAGACTAAGGGTACGTCTACACACGGCAGTGAAACGGGATTCCAATTTAAAGCCCCTAATTCGAATTAGCTGGTAAACCTCATTGCAGGAGGAATACCAGCTAATTCGAGTTAGGGCTTTAAATCGGAATCCCGTTTCACTACTGCATGTAGACGCAGGCAGTTACTTCGGGCTAGTCAATTTCTAAAATGGCGACCGGCCGGGAACATGCAAATCAAGCGTGGGATATTTAAATCCCGGGCTTGATTTGCAATTCCGGTCGCTCTCATTAGCCTCCCTAGATCGATCTAGGGGGCTAGTGTAGACGCACCCTAAGAGCTTCTCCTAAGGTTACACCAGATATCCATAGATGAGTTGGAATTAAACCCAGGTCTCTATAGACTCCCATTCCTCTGCCTTAACTGCAAAACCCTCCTTCTCTAAAACACGGCAGGCCGGCATGACAACAGAAGCTCGTCTAACTGAAGCACAAGGGAACATTCCCTCACAGCTAGAGGTCACTCCGCAGTGTCCTGCCCCCAGTGGCTCCTCTCTTCAGGGCCCCTCCACCTTGCAGGCCACAGATAGTTACCACAGTCCCCGCCAGAGCCCCAGGCCAGTTCAGTCACTCCCTCCCTTAAGGGACCCCCCAGACCCCCAGCACTAAGTCCCAATGCAAAGAGTCTTCCAGGCTTTATCCAGCTGAAGCTCAGCTTTCCCAGCCCTCTGACCTTAGCTCGGAGTCAGGGTGTCTAACAATAGTTTCCTGCTTACTGCAGCTCCTCTCAGTCACAGGGGTCTCTCTTCCCCACTAAAGTCTTTCACGCTCTCTGCAGTCTCCCTACCGTTTCCTGAGTGGCCCCAGCTTCTTGGCAGTAGAGAGGAGGGGTGGGGGCAGGACCGAGGTGGGATGGAATCCCCGGGGCCGGACTCGCCTGTGAGCCCCGCCGGGACCATGTGTGGGATGGGCAGCACCTGTGGATCTGTGTGCACCCGGGCC